TGACAGCCAGTATGGCGTTCCCTAGCTAATTTATAAAAGTGCTGATTTCTCATAGAAATTGTCACTCTTCTAAACTGGGATTAAACTAGAATACTCCTCACCCATGATGCACTTCAGTAAGCTGAAGTGCTTTTGAGGTGTGGAGTGGTTCTCCAAGGAGAAGAAAGTTTTCAATGGAGTATCGCTATATTTTTAAAATTAATTTAAAATTAATTTATTTTTTCTTTTCTTTTACACATATCTCTTTGAATATGCAAAAAAAAAAAAAAAAAAAGCAGCATTACCGGCAGATTTATTAATTTATCGTTATTTTTGATGAATAAAGAACTATTCTTGCAGATAGTGATTTACTCCATTTCGTTTTCCGGTAGGTATGTACGAAGTGCACGGTTCCCTTTAAGGAGAATGATACTAAGCACCATTGCCGGGCCTGTGGGGAGGGATTCTGTGACGGCTGCTCATCCAAAAGTCGTCCGGTTCCTGAGAGAGGCTGGGGGCTTTCACCAGTACGTGTGTGTGACAGCTGCTATGATCGGAGAGGAAGTCAGATAGGTGAGAACTGATTATTTATTTTTTAAAATGTCTTCTATGGTTTATATATTATTGTAAGATTGTGACTTGGAATGTGTGCCATTGGTGAGTGATTGCTGTGTTGACAGGCTAACCACCAATGGCACAGTATTCAATAATGCATTGCATACTACTCATCTGAATTGGACTTTCTACCCCTACATTTGTAGACAACCTTTGCCTACATAAACTAGTACTAGTGTGGCACTTGGTAAATATTATATTCAATCTTATGGAGGAACTAACTTTTCATAGCACTTTTTTTTTTTTTTAAAGGATGCTGTAGTATATGCTAAGCAGATCGCAGTTACTTATAATCAAACAACCATACTAGTAATGCTTATGCGTAGTTGAGACTTCCTGCCTAATATTAAACACAGAATTAGTGTATCAGGAAAATAATTCCACTGATGCCCACCCAAAATGAAAACCTAAAGCACAGAAAACATATCCTAAAACATTTGTTCCAAGTGAGCCTAGAGGCCATAAGAAGCATGGCGCCCGGGCCCTCATGCCAGTATAGTGCTCAGCCCACGCTTCCTATCCAGAAGGTTTTTGGTGCACCAGGCACACAGTGTGTTGCTCCAGGCTCTGACACAGTCCAGCACATGTTCCTTACGGATCTGGCCACATTCGATGTCCCTTACGGGATCTGCCCACAGATTGCCTGCTTCCACGCTCAGCTGTTGCTTCCCGAACATGTGAACTGTGTCTAGGATTCGTCCCCTGATGTATTGAGATCCAGGTGAGTGTTGGCTTGTCTCCAGGCCACTTCTCTTTAGTCAAGGCCCTCTCCCCTTCTTTCTCCTCCTCTTCGCTTTCGGTGCTGCTGTAGTGCGGACCATGACAGGTCCCCACTTAGGAACTCTCCCAGCAAGTGCTTGCCAAGGACAATCTGTCACGGTCGAGG